GGCGGCTCCAGCAAAATCATACCACTCCTTTCTAAATTATAATAATAATTTATTTTATCTTCTCTATATATATAGATATATATAGGATATCTAGATAAGTAGTAATACAATTTAGACTGAAGAGAGTAGCTTCATGATTACCTATTTTGAGGTTCAAGAGACTAGCCGAGGCACATCGTGCCCGTATAGTCAGCAGGCTATGTCAAAATAAGTACACATTTCAATTCTTGGAGATTTTTTTTAAAATATTTGACTATGCATACAAAAACTAGTTTCAATATTTAGAGTATATTGAGCTAAGTTTATTATAATACGTTTCAGGATCAATCTAGTAGTATTTATTATGTATTATAAATACTTAGTATAATTTTAAAAAATGGCTCTTTGAGAAGCAAAGATATATGTCTATTTTGGTAAGGAGCGAGGGGTAGTTGGGTGCAGTCGGATCTCGGGTGGATTTTTCTTTTCTTGAAGTACGATCAGGTGGATCGTTGCGTGTGTGTGAGAGACATCAGACATGCACGACATGGTGACTCCTGTATTGCCGAATCGTTCTTTGCATTGTCAGAATCAAAATAATCAGGGCTGGGATGGATGGCCCTGGTTTGCAGGTTTCGTCGGATTCCGCCTTCAGCTGGGCAGTGTACTTAGGCTTCGTTTAGTTCCTGAATTTTTTTACCCCAAACTATCACATCAAATCTTACGGTAAATGTATAAAGTATTAAATATAAACGAAAAAAACTAATTACACAGTTTAGTTGAAAATCACGAGACGAATGTTTTAAGACTAATTAGGCCATGATTAGCCATAAGTGCTACAGTACTAACATGCGATAATGATGGATTAATTAGGCTTAATAAATTCGTCTCGCAGTTTCAGGCGAACTATGTAATTAGTTTTTTTATTAGTATTCAAAAACTCCTTCCGACATCCCAAAACATCCGATATGATATCTAAAAATTTTCATTTCGCGAACCAAACACAGACTTAGTTGTCAGCCGGCCGGCCGGTTGAGTCGATCGACGTACTCATGCATCGATCCACGGACAGGGATGTAGCGCCTACCACGTTAGTACGTTACTATCGCACAAACCATTATTTAGAATAGAAGCTAGTGCGTAGCGGCAGAAGCAGCTAGCCATGCATCACGTGCACCACCTTACCACGAACAAGTAGACGCATGCATACAGTAGGTTCGCCTTTCCTTCGTTGTGCACCGTACCAGCACCACACGCATATGGGCACGTTATCCGCGACATGTCCACAACTGTAGAGCATCTCCTACAGCCTCTTATCTGGCTTCGTGAAGCCCGGTTTGCCAATTGTGGGTGAAAAAAAAAACCCGCGTAGCGCGGGCCACGGTCGTGGGTTATAGTCGTTGCAGGATGTTGTACACAGTGTAGTCCCGTAAACGTCCACCAGGAAGAAGTTGGATGAAGATGTCGTCGTTCATTGGGAGTAGTCGAACAGTCGCGTATAGATATTCACCAAAAACCCGATCACCCGGCACACCCGCTTATGCACGAGGCTATATTTAGGACGGCTTCCTTATACCCGAGCGACCAGAAGTCAAAGGGTCGGGAGATCTAAGCAATCAAAGCCGAAGGGATGGAGGTCGTGGCAGGAGCTCGGGATGTTGCACCAAAGCCAAAGTGTCGGAGGTCGTGGCAGAAGCCCAGGAGGTTCACCCACGTCTCGGCTCGACACTCTATGCCCCGCCTAATTAATGCCTCCATCAACTAGCCCAAGTGGCAATATCAAGTCCGGCCCGTGGACGTCTCGACTCAACTCGAGACTCCACGCCACGCCACAGCTCTGCGGCAGCGGCACGCGCGTGTGGCACGCCTTAGCTCTCTCAACTTCTCAATTGGTTGAGTCTAACGAATAGCTAAAATTCCACACGGGACTAAACCATATTGCACCATATATAGCAGAATTAAATATAGTCCTAGATTTATTTATGTTAGTTAAATAAAATATGGATAAGCCTATATCAAATCTAACAATCTCCATCAAATTCTAGGTCGCATATAAAATGCTCCCGATTCTCTATTATTTGACATACCAGTATTTTGATGAGACTGTTAAGTTAAACATTCATCTAAAACAGAGGTTATACTTCTCCACAACTAAATAATGAACCATGCCTTCGAATTGACAGTTATGTGCGAAATACTCCCTCCGTCGATAAAAGAATATAATTATGGGATTGGTGCCGATCAAAGTAACTCAAGTTTGATCAAATTCATAGCAAATAATATTAATATTTATGTCTCCAAATAAATTTATTATGAAAGTATATTATATGATTAATATAATGATACTAGTTTTGCATCAGGAGTGTTAGTATTTTTTATATAATTTTGGTCAAAGTTCAAACTTATTGACTTCTCGGAAAACGAAAATTGCATTTTTTTTTTGGACGCAGGGAGTAAGTTTTAGCTAAGTCATTTGCTGATACTAGGTTGCCTAGAGCATCCCCTCTAGTTGAAGCATATAAATCAAAATGCTAAGCCTTTTATTAGTATCTAGAGATCACCTAAATCTCATAGACTGTTACTAGCAGTCGAACTCATATATGTGTGTTTCTCAAAAGATGTCAGGACAACATCTTTTGCTTCAGAAAGCCACTTTGAACACATTAAGGTAACAACCAACCCGCTTTACATAAAAGGAAAGACGCGCATCTCAGACGACATGGATCTTATAGACCTGGACTCTCCTTTTCTCAAACAAACTCTATTTCCTTTTATAATCCTTATTATCTAATTCTATCTTTATTTTCCATCTAATCTGGGTTCTCTCGGTTGAAGGCGTGCACGACCTGTGCTATAATATCCGTGAGTATTGTTCATGTCAGGCCTGTTTTGGGCCCAACAGGGCGCCTTGGCCCAAGCTTTTGGTGAACAGGGCCCTTCTTTCGGGTCTTGTTGGGCTCAGCCATGGGTCCGTATTTAGACCAGTGCAACTTAGCCAAGCGCGTTGTCTGGGAGCTGGAGAAGGAGGATCTCACAGCTTTTATATGCCAGATAGAAACGCTGGAGGCAAGACTTTAGTTAGCAGAGGTGATGGCGGCGCTCAAGCATGAAGAGCTCTCACGGGTGGTGGTCCGTCTTTGGGCCATCTGGTACGCGCGACGTCAGGCACTGTTTGAGAACAACTTTCAGAGTCCATTCTCGACGAACAGTTTTGTGGAGCGGTCCATTAGCGAATTGGAGATGATTAAGCCGAGCACCAAGCAGCAGCAAGCGGTGGGTGATCCAGCACCGCGATAAATCAAGCCACCAAGGGGTTTTGCGATGGTTAATGTGGATGTGGCGATCTCCAAAAATTCAAGCAATACCTCAGCAGCGGCCGTGGCCAGGGATGAGGATGGTAATTTTCTGGGCGCCGACCCGAAAACAACCGAGGTGGTGGCGTGCCGCGAGGGCCTCGCTGACGTAGACTAGGCCCGATCTTCCGAAAGGTATGATAGCGTCGATTGGTGGAGACTCGACGTTCACGATCTAGGCTTCGAACCAAGACTGATTCAGACCTCCACAACCGTTACACCACTGCTCCGTTGGTTATCAATCACGTGAACGCGATTGACCTCGCCGAGAAGGCTTTCCTATAAGCGAATCGAGAACACAAGCAAGAACGGGATGAACGCAATCTGAAATTGCAAATAAATATGAGGCTTATGAAAACAAGAAGGGGTTCAAGTATTTATTCGAAAGGACTAATCGCCACAGGCGAACAAGATCATGAACTGGGGCCCTGGTTCACAGCAAGCGGCCTTGGCGGCGACAGTTGCAGCAAAACGATGTCTGTTTCATGAGGAAATCAAGAACTAAACAAAACTCAAAACCCTAAGGAGAGCAACGGCTGATAATTATAGAGTCTTGGGCGTCACCCCCTGGACGCGCCCCCTAATGGGCTCAAACACGATACATGGTCCAATAGACCAAAATACGGTGTCACAGCACCCTGACAGATTCTGGACGCTGAATTGTTTCGACGATTCCCGTTGATTCCGAAGAGCTTTTGACGTGAGACCACTTGGGTTGGCTTCCTTATTAAATTAGCTTTCCATCCATGTGTGGATCGTCGAAAACGGAGTCCGGATGCGTCCTGAGTGACCAGTTTAAGGCAGACTGGTCGTGGAGGCCGAGATGGACTCGAACTTGATTTGGGCCTCCACCTTGGTGCGAACCGGATGAGCTTCGGACCTTCTTCTCGTTTAGGACACCCTCGCTGATCTCCTTGGTCTCCATATAGTTCTCCAAGCATGGTCATATGTATGGAGATCATGTCCTCATCACTCGCTTTGGCCAGTGACTTGGGCCTCCAAACCCTCCGGGTGGCAAAGCGATTGTGTCAATGCAGATGCAAGCATCTACGGTGTGGGTTTTGGGAGGTACGGGTCAATCGTACTGGAAATCAAGACCCAGACAGAAAGCTTCACAAGGGTGGAGTTTGTTCATAAAGGCAGACGCTCCAATATTAATGCTCATTATTTAGCTAGGAGTTTTGTAAAGTTTTCGGTAGGAAGACATGTTTAGTTTGTTGCTCCTCCCGATGGAGTTTGTACCAGTTATCCTGATGAATAAAGAGGGGTGACACTTTGCTCAAAAAAATTAATAATTTACAATTATTTCTATATATAGTTAGACAAGGACAAAAGTAAGCGATAATTACTTGTTTGTGATAAAAGTGCCGCTTAAAATCCCTGAAATACAGGAGAAGTGAAGATCGTAATAATACAAGTACGCTAAGAGGAGCCGGCCGGAGTGGGCCTTACAGTCCTCTCGTCGGTGCTATATATACCCCGCCACCACTCATGGAGATGGAGCAGCGAGATAATGAACTCACCAAGCAAGCAAGACTAGTATATAAAGCACTAGCGAGGTCTAAAGCCGGCTGGCGGCTGCGCGCGTGGTCTAGCTATAGCTAGTTTCTGTAAGCTCTTGAGCTCTGTGACCACTAGCTAACGACGTGCAGGAATAACACGGTAGCCATGGACGAGTACTTCTACCAGTCGCTCCTCCTCTCCGTCCTTGCTGTGGCACTGCTGCAGCTGGTGAAGATGGCCCTGAAGCCGAGGCGACGGCTGCCGCCAGGGCCATGGAAGCTGCCCATCATCGGCAGCATGCACCACCTCGTGAACGTGCTGCCGCACCGCGCGCTGCGGGACCTGGCGGACGTCCACGGCCCGCTCATGATGCTGCAGCTCGGCCAGACGCCGCTCGTCGTCGCCTCCTCCAAGGAGACGGCGCGCGCCGTGCTCAAGACGCACGACCCCAACTTCGCCACGCGGCCCAAGCTCCTGGCCGGCGAGATCGTCGGCTACGAGTGGGTCGACATCCTCTTCGCCCCCTCCGGCGACTACTGGCGCAAGCTCCGCCAGCTCTGCGCCGCCGAGATCCTGAGTCCCAAGCGCGTGCTCTCGTTTCGTCACATCCGGGAGGAGGAGGTGAGCATAGACATGCATGCATGGTCCCAAAAGAGTAACATGACACCAAACATGGGAACAAGGCATACCACGATTCCGGACGTGGACAAACTATAGTCATAGTCACGTTCGACTCACGAGACGCTATGGGACTACACTCTAGACAAAGTGAACTAAATAATGCATGCAAAAAATATAAAAAATAAAGCAGGAGAGACCGAGAGACTGATGGAAAGAGCAGAACAATGATATACGCTGCTGATGTGTTCTTCTGCATGCGAGACCGGCGATAGTGTACTACGTTCACATGCACACCATGCATGCATGCAGGTGATGCTGCGGGTGGAGGAGATCCGCGCGGCGGGCCCGTCGACGCCGGTGAACCTGAGCGTGATGTTCCACAGCATCACCAACAGCGTCGTGTCCCGGGCCGCGTTCGGGAAGAAGAGGAAGAACGCGGCGGAGTTCCTGGCGGCGACCAAGGCCGTCGTCGGCCTGTCGAGCGGCTTCAACATCCCGGACCTGTTCCCGACGTGGACCACCGTCCTGGCCAAGCTCACCGGCATGACGCGCAGCCTCAAGGAGATCCACAAGACGGTGGACACCATCCTCGAGGAAATCATCGAGGAGCGCAAGCGCATCCGCGACGAGAAGATCAAGGGCGGCGCCGCCGCCGAGGACGTCGACGAGAACCTCGTCGACGTGCTCATCGGCCTGCAGGAGAAAGGCGGCTTCGGCTTCCAACTTACCAACAGCATCATCAAGGCCATCATACTGGTAATGCTATAAGTATAGTAGTATAAACCTCGTCGAACGATCTCCATTATATATATTCAATGGCAACATACACTTGCAGGACATGTTCGCCGGCGGGACGGGGACGTCGGGGTCGGCCATGGAGTGGGGGATGTCGGAGCTGATGCGGAACCCGTCGGTGATGAAGAAGCTGCAGGCGCAGATCAGGGAGGCGTTCCGTGGGAAGACGGTGGTGACGGAGGGCGACCTGCAGGCGAGCAACCTCCAGTACATGAAGCTGGTGATCAAGGAGGCCCTGCAGCTGCACCCGCCGGCACCGCTGCTGGTGCCCCGGGAGAGCATCGAGGAGTGCGAGCTGGACGGGTACACGGTCCCAGCCAAGTCACGGGTCATCATCAACGCGTGGGCCATCGGCCGCGACCCCAAGTACTGGGAGGACGCCGACGAGTTCAAGCCGGAGCGGTTCGAGGACGGCTCCCGAGACTTCACGGGCGGCAGCTACGAGTTCCTGCCATTCGGCTCCGGCCGCAGGATGTGCCCCGGCTTCAACTACGGCCTCGCCAGCATGGAGCTCGCCTTCGTCGGCCTGCTCTACCACTTCGACTGGTCGCTGCCCGAGGGCGTCAAGGAGGTCGACATGGGGGAAGCGCCTGGACTCGGCGTCCGCCGCCGCACGCCGCTAATGCTCTGCGCCACCCCGTTCGTCCCGGTCGCCGCCTAGCTAGCTGGCCACGTACATCGTCGTATGCTAGCCGCGAGCTGAGGAGCCTACTTGTATCTCTGTCTCAATATCTCTCTACCACACAACGGACGACGTGCTTGCTGGTTAAATACGTCATCCGTACGTCTCGCACTGAGTGCTCTCCGTTGTACTAGCAGTGTGTACGTATTAGCAGTACTGCGAAGCGTGTATTTTTATTGTGTACCTAAACTTTCTACTTCCATCGTAAAATGTGCGTCCCGCTGTAGACGCAATGGTAATAAAGTGGGATTACATTCCTTTGCTTCTGTGTTTTAAATGCAATATATATCTAGAAGACGTTGATGATAGTAGTTAAAGTTTTAAACATTCCACATGTCTCTGTGACATTATTGTTTGGAACTTTTGCTATATTTCAAGTCCCTCAAATATAATATGTTTTCATGCAACGATCTTCACCGTTGCCTCATGAGCGTGTAAGGCTGAGATTTAGGTCGATGGAGAAAAAATCAAGGCAGGAGTGGATACGGTACGTATCGCCTGAGAACACAGGCATCTGACCATTAGGAAAAGTGTTATTGTTTTTTAATGTACGAGCAAATATATATGTCTGTGGACATACAATCAGCTACGTGATTATCTTATTACTTGGACGCCTGGCTATAACTATTCTTATAGTCTTATGGTTACACGAAAAGCTTGGAGATTTATCTGAAAATTACGTCATGCGTTCTGATTCGTCTTGGGATCGAACTCTCTGCAGGCTGAACGCTGGTCTAATGACTATACATGAAGACAAGAGAGAGTGAAGGACCATAAAAAGACTTCAACCGGCAATGATTGTTTTTGAGGAAAAATCCCATTTGGTATCAAAAGATTGACTTAGATTTAAGAAGATACTTCCTTCGTCGACCACAAATATATAGAACTTTGGTTCATATGAAAATATATAGTTGTATATTATGAAAGTTTCATAATTTGTCTAGTAATAATGTTTATAATCTTGTGTCATCAATGTACACACACTTTTAGATATTTTTATCATATACATAGCCAGTCTTTTTTTCCCTAAAAATCTGCATTGGCACCTACTGCATTACGATTTAAGAGGAAAGCAAGCTACAGGGAGGCCCCCACCGACAACCAAACAATAGAGTCATAATACACAACTTGCGCCCACAAACTAGACAATGAACGGCTAGGCTGAAACAACACCCACACACACTAAAACGCTGAAGCCATCAAGGACCCATACCGCGAAGGTGATAGACCACCATCCCCTGTTGCTACTACCCAGTTCCTACCTTCAAGCCTAATCACCCTCCCGTAATTAAGCTCTATTGTTTGGACCGCCGACCTCTGAACACCCGCTGATTTGATCCGCTCCTAACAAAGACACCAGCTTACCAAAAGAACTAGCTAGGGAGTCGAACCCTAAACTTGTGAGCCACCAGGTTACCAGGTTTGCTGTGCACTCTTGGAACCAGCGCCTGCAGAACCAAAGGAAGCAAAGCGACACAACAACAAAGCTACCGTTGTCAGTCTCCTACAACTAAAAAGAATAAAACGGATTTTTTTTTGTGCGACATTTCAACGTGGGCCCATAGTCCCGCCTACTGCGTTCCTATAGCCCTTGCTCCTACACCCATCTCTTGCAACAAAATTCTTCCTTCCAAATTAGTCATGCACAATTATAGCAATACAATTTGCTAAATGACGACTATATATACGAATGATTGATTATAGACCAATCTCCGTTCTTTTTTTTTGAAGGAAGAAAGAATATCAAGGATTACGTGAAACCGAGCAACCAGACCACCTTCCATGCACGGCGCCACAATGGTGCATGCAAATAGGAATCGTGCATGTGCAATCAAGAAGGAAGCCATGCAACCAATCAAGAAGGAAACTACCATAATCAAAGACCACACCAACCACAAGCGGCACGTTAGCATGACTCATCAATCTCTTCTCTCATCACGTCTAAAAAGACTAAAAAATGGACACCGTTTTAGTGCAACAATCCAACATCGGGTCGTCGGTCTGTCTGCATGCGATCCCATGCTCGTTATCCCACCCGGCATCGTCGCCCCCCCCCCACAATGGCCCACACGGCGCTTCTTCCCTAAAAATGCCACTCCACGCGAGAATCACGTGATCACGTCTCATCGTATGCCACTAATAGACGGAAACCTACGGCCAAACGGCGTCCACCAGTTGTAAGCGCTTGTGAAAAAAATCTCAAATTGCCTGGCCGAATAGGAAGGAGGGGAAACGGACGTCCATCTGGGCGTAATTAACGCTCGTGAAAAAAAATCTCATGTCTCCGGTCGGCCAAATAGGAAGGGAAGAAACGGACATCCATCCAGCGTAATTAAGACTTGAGAAAAAATACGTCACTTCTCTTTCCTAAAATCACATTACATGCAAGCCCGGATTTTCATATTCTCTCCTCCTTCTCTCTTTCCTTGTAGCGACAACCGCACAAAAGAGAGGTAGACGAGATCAGACGCCATATCCTGCTTCCCCACCCCACCACGAACCATCGTTGCTCTGGCCGTCATCGATCATCGTAGTGGATCGATCATCGCGCAAGCCGCCGTTCAGCTCGTCCTGCCCGTGGAAGAAAGGAAAGGAACAACGTCCAGCGGCCAACCGGACAGCTAGCGTGCGTCTCTGCTAGGCCCTCCCCACCGGCTCACCGTCGTCAAAGGATCAGTACGTCTCCGCCAGCGTCTTCCACCGCTGTTGCCCTCTTGGTAGGGCAAAGTCCACTGTCCTCGTCAGTTTGATAGTTTGGCCGCCGCACCCATCGATCTCGGTAGTACTAGGCGTAACCGCGCATAACCCCGCCTACCGCATCATCACCCAGGTATATATGTCTCCAAAACTTTCGTGACCAATCGTCACTTGGTTAGTATTCAGGAAGTGTAATTCCTGTTTGGACGTTCCCTATAGTATTCAGGTTGCTTCTCCTGTTTTCATTTTTTAGGCCTCCATTTAGGTTCTATGTCATCCAACTAAACAAGCCAGTTAGGAGCAAGTACCGCAATACAAATTTATATTTTTGTTTATGATAATTAATGTTACTTTAGCTTTAAACAATAATTGTTTATATGCAGGGCCATACTTTTATAAACAGGACAACTGCAGGTGACATATTAAGATCGAGTTTTGTCCTGACAGTTTGCAATAAGATTGTTTTGATTTCTTCAAAAAATAAGATTGTTTCGATTTTATGCTAAAACTTAAATTATATTTTAATTGTTCACGCATCATGAAGACGGATTTAAAAAACAAACGTTCTGAACATCTCTTAAATTATATTTTAATTGTTCATGCATCATGCTTATGTCAACCCTGTGCAAGCTGGAGCTTTGGCCAGCACATGGCAGGGCAGTAGCTATAGGAATTAATATGCTCTATTTAATTATTCTTTGCAATATTATTTGCTTGATCATAAGGCATAAGAGCAGGAGAGCATAGCAGTTCTGTTTTAGTTCAAGTAGTTTGAGTCATCTTAGTAAATGAAGCACAGTGCAATTTATTCATGATTCAAATTACGTGTTTTTGGAGCTTCCTAGAATTTTTGTTCTGATCCACATATAGTTTTTTCGTGTTGTAGAGGTTGTACTACTAGCAGCAAGAATGCCATAATAGCTGGTATTGTTGTGGCGGTTCCCACTAATGTGTAAATCGTTTTAGTGTTATTAGTAGTATATATTTAGTTTATGTGGACTTCCTACCAATAAATTAATGAACATGCTTAAGAGAGGGTATATCATCATTTCGTTTTCTTTTGGGGAAATATATGCATCATTTTGGTATTCAGACCAAGCAGTGGCGATCTAGCTCCGAATGGCCGCGCTAGGCCGGCGGGCGCAAACTTCATGGCACTCGTGTCTGCCCGGTAACGCAGCACTCGCGCATCCTCCTCTCCGGCATCGTCTCCCTTCCTCCACCGCCTCAACCGCTGGGACACGCAAAGGTGCGATCTTAACACCGGATTCGGCTCCCCTCGCGCCATTGGTCCCCAAAGGCATCGGCTTTGCTCTGATCTGTGGTTTTGTGTGGTCATGGGTTGCTTGTGATCTCTTCTTTGGGGGCGGTTTCCTGGCCAGTTACTAACTTAATGTTGTGTGGCCGGAAGTGGGTCACTAGGCTATAGTTCTTGCCGCTGTGGAACGTCAAATCTAGAGCCTAGAGGAGAGTGGAGGCCTCCGCGCCTCGTCAATGTCCGGTCAAGGCTATCCATGCAGAATGAGCTGTACTTTGATCAGCTTCATAGCAAGTGGTGATTTTGAGTAGTTAATACCTTCTTGCCAAATATATTTTAATCTACCCAGGTAATGGGGAAATAACAAAGGACATAGAAATACCTTCATATTTTAAGTTTTCCTTTTGCATAATACTATATAAAACTTGACTGTGAGCAGGGGCCATGGCGACTTAGGAAGCCGTCTCATAGGATCATCTCCTATTTTGAGTCTTTGAAAAATGTTCAAGTTACAAAAAATTAGAAAGAGATGCTTCTTGTTTGACTATATTGTCTATCCCTTCTTCTATATACAACATCGAGTTCTGAAATCTGAATTGTATTGAAATTTTGCTTGCCTCCTATAACTACTTGTGTTCTAGAAAGGATGAGTAGCTTTCTTGCAATTTCATGATCTGTGACTTCTTAAGTATGATAATCACATTATAGTATGCTAGAATTATAGTCTGATCTTTACAAGTCTTTTATATTGAATTAAATAATTGCCTATATCTCATTGAGTTGCTAATGGAACAATATTTCAAAGCGACAAAGACATACTAAACTGGATCATAATTCAATACTAGGGGCATATGGTTGAAGGCATGTTATGTTATTATCTAAAATATAAAGAAAGGTGACCTTGGTATATGAAGCAAACTGATAATTCATGGAGATGGTTAGTTTTAAAAGGTTGAGGAATCAATTAATCTTGTTATAGTGATATGAACTTTTATGTGCGTATGCACAAATGTACAATACTATA